CATCTTTCCCACAGATGCAAAGGCTGGGTTGTCTCAGCCTTTGATCTGGCAAAACACAGCCCCTTTCACCCTGACTGCTTCCAGCCATCCCTGGTGCTGTTGGCTGTGTAGCACTGCTCTGCTATTGTACCTGGCTGAGGATTTTATCTAATGCCTTTTGGAATGAGTTAAGAAATTGCTGAAATACTACCAGCATTCTGCCTGATTTTTAGGCTGCCCACTGGTTCTTTACCTGAGACCACTGAAAGTGCTGTGACTCTCTGGCTTGAAGGCTGAGCATTGTTAGGTCTCATGCAATGATAGTCTTGCTTCTGCATCAGCTGATGGTTCCAGGCCACATCCCTGCTCATTAGTCCAGGAGTGCCTGCTGCTGTCTGCTTGCACAACAGCTGGGAGCTGGATGTGTCCTCTGTGTGCTGGTCAACAAGGACTTGCTGCCAGCAGCAGACCTGGACAAGATTTTATGACATTTAAGGAGGATTTTCTTGTGATTTCTGTTTGTCTCCATCTCCACATTTCTGAGGTTTTGGTTGGCTCTAGGTGTCCCTCCAACAACACTCTGTAAACCTGGACAGCTATTGAAACTGGCAAAACCTGGACAGCTATCTTTGCTTCATGTTCTGCAAAGACTAAAAAATTAATTCCTTGTTTTAAAGCATTTAAACAGAGTGGGAAGCTGCACATATGTATGAGTTTGGCGTGGTTTTGATGCCCTGGGGCTCCGTGTGTGTACTTTGTGGGCTCTGTGTGCCGTTGTCCTGCCCCTGCTGTCTCCTGACATCCCTGCAGCTCCTCCCATGACTGTACCGCTCCTTTGCTGGCTCCCCCCATCCTGCCTGGGGTGCTGGGCACCCAGCGAGGGCTCATGGCCACACCAGGATCTCCCACTGGGGCACAGCCCCTGTTCCTGGCCACCCCTTCCCTCCTCATGGAGCAATGGGTTGCAGTGCTGGTGCTCCCAGGGAAGGGGAATGCACAGCTGCTGGAGTGCCACTGGCTGCTTGTTGGATCTTCAGCAAACTCCATGTGTTTGACGTGCAGCTGTGTAGTTGGATGCAGGAGCTGAAGCTTTTGATAATCATGGGTTTTGCTTTTTCTTATTTTCCAAATTCTAATTACCAATATCTAATTTTTTGTTGTTGTTGTGACTTGATAGGTTCCTTTTTTTTAACTTGGTACAGTTAACAAACATAAAGTGATGTAAAACTGACTGCTTTTGCAGACTACTCCAGTACAGAAGACTTTTTCCCACTGGTTTTACTCTAAACAGTACAGCCCTGAGGGGCTGATTTGTCTGATTTACATTGTCTTTGTGTACAGCAACATCTAGACTGGAATATTTTATTTTTTTCTTCTGTGCCTGATTTTTGGTGGTTTCTCTAAATTTAGAACCTTTTCTTTTACTGCATTAAAAACCCTTAAAGTGAAAAGTATGTAATGTGTTAATTAGGGACTTTGGGAGGGAAACTCCTAATCTTTTGCAAGGCAATTCTGTTGGAAGGGGAGTAAGGGACTTCAAGAACTTCAATTAAACATGTACATCGTCTGAAAGATCTGAAGTAATTGAGAGCTGAGAACAGAGTGTTGGTTAATGGGATCTCTGGGTCAGACTCTGAGCCTTAGAAGTCTGATGCTGCACAGCTTGTCTCTAGAGACAGGGCAGGAAAAGCTGGAGCCTCTTTTGCTCTCTGACAAGAAATCTCCCAGAGGAATTGCAAGGAATAGTATCTTTGCACAATTACTTCTTTTTTCCCCCCTAAAAATACATTTTTTAATCTGTTATGTTAGTGGCTCAGCTGCTGTTCCTCTGCTTCAGCTTTGAAGGCTAAACACTACATACATACATAAATTCTAAAATGATGGATTCCTCCTATGCTGTGTCATTGTGTGTTACTGTATCCCCAGAGCCACCAGGGTGTTGGTTTGCCCTGCTCTGCTGGCCTTGTGGGAATGTTTTGGGGATGCTCCCATGCTGCAGGGAGGTTGGATGGGTGACCCACCCCTGTGCAGAGACTGCAAAAGTGGGATGACCTGCAAGAGCCATTTCTGTGCCAAGAGCTGGGTAGTTTATTTATGGAGACTGATACATCCCTGGGAGAGTTTTTTGTAGTCTGAGCACTTGAGGTGTTTCAAAACAGACATTCTACAGTTGGTGAGAAGGGCAATTTTTAAGAAATTATCTGTTTCTGTGTCTGTGCATGTTGAAGCTTATTACATCTTGCTTTGGAAATGCTCTAAAAATTCTGACTTTATCTACAGCCTTAATTGCTGCCCGTTAAAACCTCTCTGATCCAGACTGAATAGCAATGGAGATGGATGGAAGAATGATTTGCTGAAAGGCCTTCAGGCATTGTGGAAGGCATCAGGTCACTGCAGTACATTAAGAATAACCAAGTCTAAAGATAGGAGTTACTTAAATTTAGAGATTGAATAAATTTCTGGGTATGTTAGAAGATGTTAATACAAATGGATTTTTCTGCACTGGGGTTAGAATGAGAATAAAAAGGGAGTGCACTTCACAAAGCACTGCTTTCTGCAGAAATAGTGGGTGTAGATAGTAAATGTGAGCTAACTGCAGTCTGAAGGTGCATGGAGGAGGCTTACAGTGCTTTGGGATCACAACAAGTGCAAACATCATTTTATTAGCATGCACTACCAAGCATCAAGTGGAGCAACTCTGTGGCACTCTGCGTGCCTGACACGTGGCTGCTGGCATCATGTCACAGACAGGCTCTGTTTGTCCCCTGCCCCACACTGGCTGTGCACAACTGCTGGTGTAGAGTTTAAAAAAACAAAGTGCTAAAAATCCAACCAAATGTGTGTGGTGGGGGGGGGGATTTCTGATAGAAAAGGAATGGAAGAAAAAAAGAGAAAGGTTTAAGAATTGGAATGGAATCACGTGAAATGACATGGACCTGGAAATATTTTTTTTAGCTCCACATTTCTTTTAGAACCTGATAAATCATACTTTCCCCCACTTAACTGTAACTGGAATTAGAAGGTTTTATCCCTCATCCCATGAGATTACAAGTACAAAAGCATTACCTTAGGGATGTGTCTGATCCTCTCTGAGCCAAAGCACACAAGCACATAATTCCCAATACCTTGGAGATGAACACTTAAGTGAGGAGTTAGTGGTGCCAGAAGAGGGCTTTCTGTGGGGCCATGCTAAGTGTCACCAAACACAGTTTCAGGATCTCAGACAGAAGCATTGGAGCTGCTAATTGCACTGGGGGTGTTTTCTAAGTGGCAGAAGAGATGTGAGACACTCGGAGTGATTGCTCTGTCACACAGCCAGACACAGCATAGAACTGTTATCCTAAAGGGATGCCAGTAACTCATCTGTGACCTCTGTGACTGAGAGATGGGGGAATACTCCTCTGACCCTGGCTTTTCCAAAAATGTTGACTCATCTTTTCTGTTCATTGGTGCAAAAATGAATTCAAGTTGTGGGGTTTTTTATGATAGTTGAATGGATGTAAGTTCTTTCCATCTTGCTTTTGTCATCTCCATGCAGTTTGCTTCATCTCTGCATTAAAAGCAGATGAAGAGACTGGAACTTCTAATGGCTTTTGCAGTGAGTCACAAGTGCATGTCCAGACTCCTTAGCCAATTTTTATGTATTCTCACTAGCCTGTAGGGTGAGAGTTTCTCTTTAGTAGACTAGTTACACAGCCAGCTCAAGCATAACAGTTTTCCTGTTCTGAGAGTTTTACAAGTTTATATCAAAGCTGTATTTTAACTTAGTGTGTCTGTGCTGAGACCTTCATGGCCCCTTCCCAGTTCTCACCTTTAGGAAATTCTTTCATCTTGTATTTACATAGCCAATGTACATATTTTTAATTTTTTGGAGAAGATGGAGTGAGACTAGATTGGTTCCTTAGCTCCTCCCCTGAATCAAAAGTCCTATTTGTCTGTCTGTCTATCTCCTCATTTCCTGAAGTGACAGGTGTACCTACAAAATGTGATTCACTTGCCTGTTGCTCCTGCTAACAGTGTGAGGCTTCTTTGTGGTGTCCTAGTCCCAAATGGCAGCAGCAGCAGCAGCAAACCTTTTCTAGACACATTCAACCAGTGGCCAAAGTCATGGCCTAAGCAATGTGTGCTGTTGTGTGGCTTCCCAGCTCTGGAGGGCTGGGTGTCACCTTTTGGAAGAGAGAAACGTGTTAGGTGGGGTACATCTAATGAAATAATCTAGCTACCAAATCCAGACACCAAATGAAATTTCATGCTAAATAAAATGAATAAATGAAATGTTAAAGTGTTGCTGTTTGCAAAGTATCTACTGGTAATGCTCAAAAAGAAAACCTTGTGGTTGTTACTTAAAATGTTGGAGTGAAAATCTGGTGGTGACAGGTGCAGCTCTTTTCTCTGCCCACTCAGAGCTTTGTGTTCCCCTGGCTGTGCTCGTGCAGCTGTGCTTGCTGAGCCCAGTCCCACGCAGGAGCTCAATCTTCCAGCTGTGGCACCTCAGGGTGGGGTGATCCTGTGAGATCCCCCAGCACAGGGCTGCAGGCACCTGGAAAAACTCAGTGTTGAGGGCTGTTGTCAGCAGCACCTGACAGCAAATTTCAGAGACCATTAATGAGGCAAATTTTAAATTAAGTAGTATGGTAATTGCAGCTTAGTTTTTCACCTCAAAATGCATTTCCAGTCAAAGCAGTGGTGGCTTTGTTTACTGATGTAGAAATTTCAAACTTAGCATGTCAATACCTTTTATGAAATACACCTGATTACCCTGGAGGAAAGGCTGATCCCATCTCTTGGAAGTCTTTGTCCACGTGACTTCTACCTCAGTCTGAATGGATTTCTGCTCTGCAGGAAATGTAGCTGTGCTATCACTACAATCTTCATTCTAGTACAAAAGCTGAACTTCATTTCTTGACACTTCTTATAACAAACTTTTCGGTTTAAGGACTGGGAGCTGTAGCAGTTATAATATTTTAAGTGTCTGTATATTTTTCTCCTTCACTAAAATGATAAAATTCTCTCATTTCCAGGGTTGCACACAGAAGTATATTGTGAAGAACTACTTCTACTACTACTTGTTCAAGTTTTCAGCTGCTTTGGGTGAAGAGATTTTTTATATCACTTTCCTTCCATTTACCTACTGGAATATAGATCACTCTGTGTCTAGAAGAATGATAATTGTTTGGTCTGTAAGTATTTCTATGATTAATTTAAACTTTAATTCTGTACCCATAGCATTTAATATTTAAGAACATGAACAAAATCCCTCCAAACCAAAGAAGCACCAACACTATTCACATGCAGCTCGTGTTTAGGAAGAAAAGGCATTGCAATACTGAGAGAGGAGGCAAGAGGCATCATCTGACTCAGGGTTTCTTCATCTCAGCCACATCTTGGACTGACTTTTTTTTTTTCAGCACAATCACTGACTGAGCTGCTTTTGGTATAGTTTGCACAGAATAGTTGGGAAAACACCTCCTTCCCAGTGCATCATAGTATTTCAGGTGACTGAGCTGCTTTTGGTATAGTTTGCACAGAATAGTTGGGAAAACACTTCCCAGTGCATCATACTATTTCAGCGATTGTTTTTCATCACTTTAGGAAATCTTTCTCTTATTTCTTCTCTGTAATTTCATATGGTTCTGGCTTGGTTGAAGTTACCATAAACCTGATAGTAAAGGGATATGCAGGCTGCAGGGGAATAAACAGGGTGTTTTTGCAGTCACTTGAGGGGGGAAAATCAGATTGTCTGTTGAAGGCTAAGACTTGAAAGCATTGATTTTCATTAATAGACAGCATTCACAAATTAACTGACTTCAGCATTGCTTCAGCATGGATTTGGGGTATCCAGAATAATGCATTTCCATTGTAGCACTGAAAAAACAGGAGATAACCAGGCACTTCAGGCCAGGACCAGCTGTGTTGTCACTGCCATTGCTCATCTTGCTATTGATCAGATATTGCTGCCCAAATAAAACCATTTTAGAACAGAGAAGGAAGGTGGGGAGCACCTCTGCTAGGTGGTAGAGCCTGAAGGTTTTACTATCAATCTACACTGATTTAAGAAACTGAATCTTGGTAAAAACTTAAATATTACATCCAAGTTTATCTGTTTATAGTGAAGCTTCTCAGTGATCCAGTCAATTCTGGTTAATAATAATTTTGTCTTTTGACCAAAGAAATAATAAAAACAACTTGAATTGAGTCATACCCTTCAAATACACCTGGTCTTGGACAGAAGACATCAGTTGCTCTGTGCCAATAACCTTAGTCAATACATTTTATAAAGAGAACATGAAAAATAACTTGCAGATGAAATTTAGAAGTAGGTGGACACAGTATAACTAGAGCTGGGTTCTGGCCAAGAGTACACCTACAGCTTCTGGAAATGTGCCACAGAAGATGAAAATTGGAGTCACTGCCTTCTGGGTTTGCATATAGCTCAAAAAATGAGTCTTTGGAGTTCTTTACATTCATTTCTGTAGATTTGCCTTGTCTTTTCCTTGCAAGGAGTTCATCTGAGTATTGGCCAGATCTAGTCTGACTTAGAGTATTCAAGCATCTGATATTATGATAATTAATATTATTTTTCACTTACTGAGTTGTGGAGCTGCACTTTATACTGAAAAGGGGAAATTGTTTTAAATACATGGGCTTGAAACAATCTGCATTTTTAAAACATTAATTATATGTAACTGTGAAATGGCTAAAAATGTCTGTGCAGGCCATGGGTTAATGCTGTGGCATGCTCAGCTGGGAGAGTCTCTGCTGGAGAGCAGGGAGTGGCACTCCCAGTGCTGGTGCTGGTCTGTCTAACAGTCATAAAATCATAGAATGGCTTGTGTTGGAAGGGACCTTAAACTCACCTGCTTCCATCCCCACTGCTGTGGGCAGGGACACCTTGCACTAGACCAGATTGCTCCAAGCCCTGTCCAGCCTGGCCTCAGATGCCTTGGTCATGGATGTGACATTTGTCTCAGCTGCAAGGGAAACACCACGGTGTCAGTGGGACAGAGCTGTGCTTTTAACTAAATTGGAGGTTTTTGTGATGGACTTTTGAAGAAATGCTTCTGAATGCATGATGATGATGTGTGGCTAAGAAAAACTGTGTTAGATGACAGTACAAATCCAGGCAGCCTGACAGTCTCAGACAACAGCTGTGAGTGGAGGGCTGGGAAGAACATGAAGGGATAATTGCAGGACCCAGGCATGTTCTGGAGATGGCTCCTATCCATCTGGGGAAAGGGGCTGGTATCAAAGGGAGAGCCCTAAGGGAAAGGCAGGAGTAGCTCCCCTTTAAAGGGGGTGCTGAGGATGAGGAGAGGTTATTAGTGAAGCTCCTCAGCAGGAGAGGGAGTGGACCAGCAATGACTTTTTCAAGCACACGGGTATGCTGGGAACACGGTTGGCTGGGATGACGGTGACACCGAGGGTGACACCACTGGCCAGGAGAAGTGGCTCTGGAGAATGAGGGTGCTGAGGGTGGTACTTTTTGTGCTGTTTCCCACTTAAACCTGTGAGTTTCTGCTGCAAGTGGGAAATGACAATGCTGGTGTACCAGGATGAATCAGAGGAGTTTCTTCCCTTAAAAATTAAAGCAGCACTATTGCTGTTTACAAAGACTTCCTGCCATCTTATCTGTAATAGTTTATGCAGAGCCAGTCACCCCCATTTGAGAAAGATAATTTCAAATTGGAGCAGGGCCAGGGATGATTAAAGAACAGACTATTTTCTGAGTAGAGACTGAAAGCTTAGATAAATCCCTAGCAAAATGAAGTTGGAGAGAGAATGGGTCTGGCTGCAAAAACCATGGGAAGGAAGGAGCTTCTTAAAATAAAACTACAGTCACAAGAAGAAACATGCATACGGCAGTCATAAATAATTTCAGTTGAAGTCAAAGGTTGTGAAATAGCTCAAGAAGGGTGAAGGGCAGAAAGAAAAAATTATAAAGAGTTTATTTCAGCAGCAGCAGAGGAGTGGACTTGGAACCCTGGAATGTCTTCAGCCCTGGGTCCCCAGAGCCAGCTGCTTGTGCTTTTCTGTTCAGGTGGATGGTGTGGGAAATGCTGACTGGTTTTGCATCCAGATGCTTTGCAGCCTAAAGCAGCATGTTGTACTTCCATGGGGCCTTGCCTCTGAGGATTCAGGGTATATATGCAGGCTTTAGCTTTACCTTTGTGAACAGATGGAGGAAATAACTGCATGAAACCTCTGAGCAAGGTGCTGAGTCAGTAATGAAGGTCTCCTGGTATCTTTGCTTCTCTTCTCCAGCAATTTGAAGTAAACACTCTTGAAACTGCACAGGCCAGGCTTTGATGCCTGTGACTCTTGCAATTTCAGCCAGGAAGTGCAGAGATGAGAAACAGCTTCACACACTCCCCAAATGTACTGCACATCTCAGCTTGAGAGGTGAAAGCTCACTTTGTTTCTGTTTGTTTTTTACTTTTTGCACTGCTTCAAGTTTGAAATCTTTATTTTGGTGTGGAATTTCAAAGGCAGAGACCTGGGAAAAAAAACTTACTGTTTCGGTTTGCTATTCAGCATGCCTGGAAATCTCTTTTTCTGTGTTTTTTCCTCAGGCCACACCTCTTCATAGCCTACAAAACTGTAATTTATGCAATGTAAATAAGAGCTGGCCAGCAAGGACTTTGTTGGGGCAGGTGTGGAAGCTTTTGGCATGTGACAGTGATAAGCTGCTGACTCAGGGGCAGGTGGCACCTCTGAAGGGGGGCAGAGTTTGGGTGTCTGGTGATGCCAGGCTGTGTGTGCCCCTCGGGGCTCCCTGAGCAGCACTGGGTGGGGACATCTGCAGCAAGTCCAAGAAGGCCTTGGGTCTGAATCCACAGCAATTTAGCTTTCCATCTTGCTTTTCAGAGGAACAGTTTTCTAAAGGCTGTCAGCACTTAGTTATTCAGCAGTGATGAGCCCTGAACTCCCTCTCAGGGTAACCAGGGTTTCCTAATCAGCTGGAGTTCACCTGCAATTGTGATGCCACTGATATTGCTGTGCAGTGATTGAAAACACACTTGGAAGCAAACTTTGGGTTTAACAATTCTTATCTTTGTTAGTTTTAGCGCCTTTGCAACACTTCACTGAAACAAGCCTGGAGCTGCTGACAAACACAGTCACTTGAAAGCCAAGCTCCAAATATTGCACTGCACAAGAACATGTAAAACTGTATTCAGGCACATAAGTAACTACATGTCAGCATACAAAAATAAATGGTGTGTGCAAGTTGATAAAGTGTTGATTGAAAGGGAATTTTGCAAGAGCTGGCAGCTGTACTCCACCCTTGAAGAAAAAGTGCCAATAAGGCTTTCATAACTGAGACAAGCTCTGAATCATTTAAGGTGAAGTTTCAACTGGAAACCTTTTGTATTTCAATAGAACTTCTAGGTGTAACAGTTTACAGTTTTAGATGTTAGATGACAAACCAGATCAATGTGACAGTACTTTTCCCAGCTGCCAGGAGCCTGGACCCAGATTTCCTTCTCTAAGCCTATTATAAGATAGTCAACTACCTTATAGATTTTGTCTAAGGGCTCCTTTTAAAGACAGAGTGAATGTGTTAGGGTGTTGGCTGGTCGTGCTTCTGGAGGCTCGAGGTTCCGCTAACCTTGTTCTGGTTTTGTGTTTCCGAAGCCTGAATTGAGATGAAGTCCTCCTTCCTTTTATATATTTATATATAAATATATATATATATATATAAACTTTTTTTAGGAATCTGCCCATGCTGTGTCTTCCCTGTCCCCCACTGTGCTGGGGCTCTAGGAGAGCCAGCTGCCCTCTCCCACAAGGTGTGTGTGCCTCGAGGAGGATGCCAGCCCTGCTGCTGGGGTTGGCACTTGGGGAGCAGCTCGGTGCTTCAGGAGGGGATGGGGAGCAGGACACGGTCTGAGGGTGGCTGAGGGCCCCAGGCTGGAGGTGTCTGGGCTCCTCTGCTCTGCAGGGCTGCCTCCACCCAGGCTGCTGCCAGGGCAAGGGGCCAGCACTGCTGCTCAGTGACTTCCATGGTGTCAAGGCTTGGCTCTTGGCATTGACTGGGGGTAGGAGGAATACCTCCACAAGGACAAGCTTCTCCTTGCCCTGCTCCTCTTCCACTCTGAACCAAGTGATGCCCGAGGGACACAGTCACAGCTAGAATCTGCTGCAGTGTTTATCTGGTCACTTCACTTGGGGGATGCTGAGAATAGAACAGTGCCAACAGTGCAGGCTGGGTGCTTGGCTTAATTTCTGTATGGGAAATCAAAGTCACGCCTGCCTCAGCAACCGCATACAGCCTTTACTTCTGCTTGACTAATCTGCAAATGTTTATTAATAGTGCATCTCTCTTTTTTTTTTCTTCAATATGCTTGGTCACTCCTATTAGTCCACAATGGTTGTGAAAGAAACACAAAGTAACATCATTTTCAAACTGTAAATTTCCTTTCTGGGAAGATGACATATACTACTGCAGGCCAGGGTTTCTACAGCCAGGTTATAGAGTTTCTATTTTGGAGTTAAACCAGCAGATTCAAAGTCAGGCTGCCACACTGTGAATCTCAGGGAAGAAATTGCCAATGCTATTTGACCATGTGTCTTCTCTAGAATTTTGTCTTGTCCTTTTAACAGATCAATAATGAAGATAAGGACAGCTGCAAAATCAGAAGCTGAAAACAAATATGATCTGGTTCCCTTTTGTTAGCTGAAATATTACAGAATAAAAAAATAATTACTCCTCCTGACCTTCATATGCCAGTGGGAGGCTCAGGTATGTCCATCCTGTGCAGAGGTAGTAGCAGGGCAGGGATGAAGGAGGACGTCCACACACAGCCCACCTGCAGCACTGAGCATGTTTCCTCAATCCTGCCAGGCCTGGGGGCTGGGCAGCTGCCACAGGAACATTCCACAGGGAAAACTGCACTCTGTGGCAGTGCTGCCACACCTCTGCACAGGGAACTGGCTTAGTTGTGTCTGTCTGCACTGTGGTGGTAAATCTGCTTCCAGAGCTCTTGCTTCCTGTCATGGGAGTGATGCATGTGGGGAGTGAGGGGAAACCACTGCAAATGCCAGACAACACCTGCAGGTGAGAAAAATGTCCTCCTAAATAGTTGAACTACACACCAGAGGCATGGGAATGTCAGGGAAACAGGTCACTTCATGGTACTCAGATGCTCAGAAGGAGGGGAGCAGCCCCTCACCCCAGAGGGATCTCCTGCAGGTGTTGGAACAAATGAATAAGTATCCACACCTGTGTGGATGCTGATGCCTCAAATTTGGTTCTGTAATTGTTCACTAAAGCAAAACCTGTTAAAATACAAAAGATAGGTTTGTCTTGTTTATCCTGATGCAAAGGCTCAGGTGAAGAAGTATTTTTGGAGATAGACCATACATATGACTCAGAGCAAATTAAGAGGAAGCTCTCAGAAAAAAGACTACAGAGGCTGTCTTGCTGCTATAGCAACTGCCAATTGCCTTTGTGTAGTAAAATGTAATGCTGTTCACCCAAAGTGGCAATAAAGCCTTGCCTTTCCTTCACCTGGAGTCCCGGCTCACTGTAAAGGGTTGCTATTGCCCTTAGCACAGGCCAGCCCAGCTGTAGTGGTAGGCAGCAGAGTTTGAGGAAGGTCTTGGGTTTAAGTTGCTTACAGTTTCGGGGATTTTTGTTGTTTGTTTGTTTTTTTATTGCTGCTTAAATTTGTTGTGAGGATTTAACCCGAAACAGTTCAGAGCCATTTCCACTGCATTGGGATAACATGGATGTGCACGAGAGAAGGGCAGGGGCGAGCACTGCCGGATGGGTCCCACTGGTGCCGCTCCTGCCCTGCTCGGTGGCACAGGGCTGTCCCCAGAGAGGGCACCCGCTGCCTGGGGCAGGCAGCTCTGGCAGCAGCTCTGTTTCCTTTGCTATGCTGTGAGCAAAGAGCCTGGGCAGTGCCGTGCCCCTGCAGCCTGGGCAGTGCCTGGGCAGAGCCGTGCCCCTGCAGCCTGGGCAGTGCCGGGGCAGAGCCGTGCCCCTCCGGCCCCTGCAGCCCGTGGGGTGCAGGTGACACAGCACCACCTGTGCGGGTGGCCTTTAGCAATGTGCACCTGCCATCATTCTCTCGGGCAGCCTGCCAGCTCAGCTGCTGGGGGGTGTTTTACCCACCCACAAGTGCTGCTTCTGCCACATAATTCAGGATAATGTGTGTAAAGTCACGTGCACGGTACCCAAATAAGCTAAAGGCAAAGGTGCTTCAGAGATCAGTGCTTAGTCTGGGCATATTCTGGAGTCCCCTGCATGTTTTATGAAGGTGGTCTCACCTCTCCTTACCATCTATACAATTTGTTTCTAAAAAGTAGAAAGTAGAATTTAATCTGGGATGCAAGGATAGGGAGGGTGTTGTGAGGATGCCTGGTATTTTCACTTACCCATCCCACCTCCAGCATTCAGCCTGTTTTTCACCATCACAGGAGTCCTAGCATAGCCTTCATTTTTGAGATGACTCATTTCCTTTTCTGCAATGCTCTTATGTTCTAGTGCTAATAATACTTCCACAAGTGGAAGTCATTATTATAGAGGACTGCTGATAAACTGGCTCATCCTACCTTGCCTCTCAGATGGTATCACAAATGGCAGCCTCAATGTTTTATGTTCTGCCTGAGAGAGTAATTTTTCTTTCAACCTTGGAATTTAATTAACTTCCAAACATGTGCCTGCATCCATTTGGAAACTGAAGGCATTAACTAAATAAACCCACACAGGAGGTTTTTAAAAGACATTTGTTCCTTGAGCCTTTGTTTACTGTGAACAGTGTGGGGCAGGGTATTCAGTATCTTCCCTGTGCCGTGTGTGTCCACAGGAGCAGCCAGGTGTGTCCCATCTGCTGCTGATAATAAGGCAGTAGTGTGATTCATATGATGAGGGATAAAGGATGCAAAGGCACCAGCAGTCACTTTTCCAGGCCCTGGTGCTGGCTGTAAGTCTAGCACTCTCTGGCATGTGCTGTGCTGTAGAGAGGAGGATGAAGGAATGACTGGCTTTTTCCTGGTCCTGACTTGTGAATCCTGAATCCTGACATCTTTCTTTTAATGTGAAACTGTTTTTTAAACGGCTGATGGGAGAGAGAGGGATGCAATGTGCCTGGTGACAAATGTGGCAGTGGGTGACTGTGTTGCTGTTCCAGCATATGGCCAACACCAGTAGCAAGGGAAGGATGTTATTTTAAGCCCCCTCCTTTGCTGGTGGAAGCATAAGAATCAGAAGAGTGAGCTGTCTCACACAGCCACTGAGCTTTCATGGTAGACATCAGTTAACCTGATTTTTGTACTTAAAAAAAAAAAAAAAAAAAAAAAAAAGTTTGCTTGGCTTTGTTTTAAAAAGCCTCCTCTGCCTATGTGTGGCTACATTATGTAAAGGGAGGAGGGCTACAGCAGAAAGCAAATACATCCTACAGGGACAGCCTGTTAACTTCTTTCAGATGTCCTCACCGTGGATGCTGAGAGCCTACTGCCTTTGGGAAGAGAGTGCTAAGGAGCCAAGGATGCCCATGGCTGGATGGGCAGCACCTCTCAGGGATACTGGATAGCATTGCCCCTTTCCTCTTCTTCCCTTGCTGACCTGAGAATGCAACATTTCTCCTAAAAGTACTGTGTTGCTGTGCTCCAGAGCTAATTAATGCAGCCCTTGCTTAAAGCTCTCATGTCCCAAGCAGGGAATAGAAGCCTTTTACTGGGGAGTTAGGCAGGAGGACTCGTAGCTCATGTTGCTTGTCCAGTTTTCCCTCTGTGAGGATGCAGAGGCTGTCATTTAATAACCACACGGGTGGTGTGTCCCAGCAGGGCTCCTGCAGCACTGGGTGGAGTGGGAGCTGCTGGGAATGGGGGAGCTGGGGCTGGACACAGCTGTGATTCTAAAGTGGGGTGGAAAAATTTATCTTATGGCTGCTTTCTTTGCAGAAGAGGGGTTGTAAGGGACAGGGAGTAAACATACACTTCTCTGGCGTGGGGTGGGAGCCAGCTGTCTGTCTCACACTGTCCTGTATTGCTGAATCTCATCAGCCAATCCTCCTTTTGGTCCCACTTCTGCTCAGGTTACCACAGAGTGCAGCAAAACCGCCATTTCCTTCACTGGCTGAGCTAATGGAAACCCCTTTAATAATTCAGGAGATAAATCCTCTGCTTGGAGGGGTGGGTTCTGCAGGAAAAAGCACAGAAATACAGGTGGTTCTTGGGTGGGCTGCATGGGGATTGCCTGTGCTGACTGACAGCCCTGTGGCCTTTCCTGTCCCCAGATAGTGATGTACATAGGCCAGGTCTCCAAGGACATCCTGAAGTGGCCTCGTCCCCTGTCACCACCTGTCGTGAAGCTGGAGATTAGGACGAATGCAGAGTATGGGATGCCGTCCACCCACGCCATGGCAGCTACAGCCATCTCCTTCTCCTTTTTCATTGCAACCATGAACCAGTACAAGGTAGGGGTACAAAAAGAAAACAGAAGAAGAAATAGAAAACACATTAAAAAAAGAAAAATCCATGTCTGCTTCCAGCAAGCCACATAAAGCTTGCAGATCCAAAGATGTTACTACTTCCAGAGGAGTTATTTATTTATTTTCACAGATGTGTATTCTTCCCTGTGCTTACCTGTAGCTGGTCAATAATAGACACAAAAACAAATTTAGGGGAAATGTCCTTTTTTATGCATGGACTCCTCTCAGAGCTGCTGGCAGGCTGCACTGCCTGCTGCAGTTTGGTGGGTTCACTGTGTTTTTGCACGTGGGGTGACCATGCAGGGAAGGTGCCTGGTTTGCCAGCATTTTGTGTTCACCCCATGCCCACCAAGTCAGTGCTGCACACTGGGACATGCTGGCTCCCAGGGAAATCAAAGGAGCTCTGTGTCACATGGCTTCTGTATGAAAGGAAAAGTGTTCCTGGAAATCCCCTGGCTCCAACCTGTGTTAGACTAACAGCACACAACATGATCGGAAAGCCTGCTTGTCAGAGGAGAAACAGCAACTTCACTGCACTGTAAGAGCTGCAGGCTGCTTGGGGAAGTCTCATCAGTTTTCCTCATTATCTTCCTAAAAGGTTTATTTCCTGGAAACTCATTTCTCCATGATGATTATTTTCATTCCGTTTAATGAATCCAAGCCTGTGTTTCCTGTACTCTAGCAATAATAACTTCCTGGCTGCATTGTGTTTAAGAATGTTTCTCAGCCCCCTCAAGGGATAAACCCACATGTGGTAACTGGTTAGAGCAGCTTGACAGTGGCATGGGGACAGGGAGCCACAAGAGGGAATATTTGTCATATATATTGTCATATATTTGGAAGCCAGATCCATCCCGTGTGTTAGAGCTGCCAAGATGACTGGGTCAGCATCACCTTCTCCTCAATCCACAGGTGACCAGAGGGACATGCAGCTCTTCACAGGCTGTCTTGTGCTTCTTGGAAACTGCCATAAAACGATAAAGCTGCTGTCAAATAATTAAATGGTTTAATTGCCTCTATTAAGATGGAAAAATCTCCCAGTACATTATGCTGCTATCTTCTCAAGATGCCCTAATCATCAATTACTGCTCTGGACTAGCTCGAAGGCTGCCTGCTGAGGGAGGAGTCAAGTGGGTGCAAATGCTCCAAAGACTTAGAGAAATGAGGAAAAATAGTGTTTTGTGAACTGGGAGTGACATCTGCAGCTGGGTCTGAGCTCTTTATTCAGCGGGCTGGAGTATGCCAGGGGAAAGGGTCAGAAGAGAGCTGTTATGCTTAGAATTTCCACAGAGGCATTTTTGTGCTGACCTGTGGCCACCCTGGTCACTCATGAGCCTCAGGGAGAAGATAGAGACTTTGTGTCAAATTGGATGAATTAATTGCCTTTATTTATATTTTGAGTTGGTTTACTCTTTACAGAAAAATCTCCCTTATGGACTGAAAGGAGCCCAGCAGCCCACTCAGTTTCAGGGTTTGAATGAGTGGATTAAGGGCTAATACGTTAAGCTTATTCTTTACCAAATGTGGTTTTTAAAATGTTTAAGTGTTGATTTATTTAAATGGTTCTTTCCATGTTTTTAGGCTACTCAGAGAGGGTATTAGGCAAAACCAGCTTCATAAGATGATTAAACCTTTAAGTATCACAGGGAAGAGTGGTCCTGACTGCTTTAATAGCTGGATTGTGGTTTCAGCCCAGACATTGATTCTCCCCACTCAGCCCACTGCTCGAGGACTATCGATCACACTTCTGGTCAGACTCTGCAGCTGTCACAGTCCCCTTGGCTGAGCTGAGACTGCAGCGCTACCTCAGCCACGGCGTGTTCAACATGCCGTGCCTTCTTCCTTAAGCTCTTTAACACCAACACGGGTTTTAATTTAAAGACAGATATAGTAGGGAACAATTCTGCAAATGCCATCGATTACCCAGATGTCTCCAGAGTGAGACCAGATCTTGCAGAAGCAAACAGCACAGGCGATGAAATGACCTTCCACAGGACTGAGTGTTCATTGAGGGGGCCTTGCCTCAGGCCGCATTCATCTCCTGGGGAAAGCACAGCTCAGGAGCCTCTTCCCAGCACAAGATCCTTATGTCAGTCCAGCTGCTGGGATTAATAGTGTATTTAATTTTTTTTCCCCCTTTTCACAGTATCCATTCGAGCTCGGCCTTGTAGCAGCGTTCGTGTTCTCAACGTTGGTGTGTCTGAGCAGGCTCTACACGGGGATGCACACGGTTCTGGTAAGGATGTACCCCCAGCTCTGCTTTCCTACAGCTCATCAGGGCGGTGGCCACGCCACCACAGGAGCAGACGAGTCGTGCGGCTGAGTTTGGGGCTGTGCATTGAGAGGAGCTGCTCGGAAGCCCTCGGGCTATCGCAGTCGGGCCCGCAGCGGTGACTGCAGCGCGGGGAGGCCGCAGCGGCCTGGGCCGGGTCAGCTCAGCCCGGCACCTCAACTGCAGTTCTCCATTTCGAAAGTTTAATTGCGAGGAATGCGCTTGGGCAACCGACGCTGCTCTTTAGCTAAGCCCTTTGTGCAATAGTATCGCTGTTTTCAGCGAGAAATAGCCGGGGCTGGTTGAGCCTGGGAGTGCCGGCAGGAACTGCAGCTCGGTGAGTCACTCACGGGGTAAAGCGTGGCCAGCGAGCTGCCCCGCGGGGCCTGCCCGACAGCAGGGCTCTTGTCAGCGTGCAGGCACCCAAAAATGACAGGTTTCTTGTTTTCAGCTGGAAGGAAGTGCTTCTCAAGGCATTGAGATGCACAAATAGTTTGTCTGAGAATGATTATAAAATAGCTGTGGCTTTATATGACAGACTTGCTGGGCACTGTTGCTTAGAGACATCAGTGCTGCTTTAGGAGCTAAATTCAGTGTGCTTGTGATAGCTGGTTCATTCCTGACAAGATGAAAGTTTATTGATCTGTTATAGACAGTGGACAGAGGGATAGTCCAGCTTCCCAAATATGGATAAAAACTTGGGGCTGTTTCCTCACAGGAGTTTGATATGCATTGTTGGTTGCATATGCGTAAACAATTGAATATTTTTTACTACGTAATAATTATGTTTGTAATGAGACTTGATGACTGTAAGAAAGAGAGCCCTCATGAGATTAAGGTTAGCTGTAAAATATAGCTTGAACTTCCCTTTCAGGCTCAGTGGATCAAAACAATATCTTACATCGAGGCTGCAGACACCCTTTCTGGGCTACTGACCTTAAGTCAATCAGTAAAAATTCTTTGCATACTTCCCTTGCTGGCCCATCATAATGAAGGACCCTTCTAAATTTAGATGGATTTTAGGATAAAGAATAAAAAGTCCTTTGTGCTTTTGACGTGGTAGAAAAGGGCTGTAAAATAAAATTTAAAAAAAAGCTTCTTAGCTGAAGTGTGAGCAATGCTGCCTTCCAAAAGGGCAGACGTGCTTGGCTAAGGTCGTTATCCTGTGTATGCCATGGTGGGATGGAGCTGGGAAAAGCCCAGTGATCACAGCTTCCACACACAGCCCCTGTCTCTGCAGCAGCTTGTCACCACAGGGACTGAGGCCTTAACAGAAAGGATGTAATAATGTATTAAGTGGTCATAGCATTTCAGTAAAGCAAAGGAATGGGTAACAAATATCCATGGACGTGGTGTAACTGAATTTTTCCTGTTTGAGGAACCAGAGGAGGAGTGATAAGGGCAGTTGCATTGTGCTTTCCTCCAGCTCCAGTGCAGAATCTCATCTTCTGTAGTCTCAGCTCTACAAATCTGTATTTTAGCACTGCTGGCCTTGCTTTTGAATGAGGAGTGGTAGCAGAAAGCGCAGTGATGTCATTAGAAGAGATATTACCATTAAAGACCTCGTGGAGAGGCAGTCAGCTGATATGGGAGCTATCTGCATCCTTCCAGCTGTGCCAGAATGAATACTATGCCCAGGGAAAAGGGAGCAAACATCCATGGCCTGGGCTGTTACCAGGAGAGCATTGCCCAGCCAGAGAATGGGGTGGCAGCAATGCACTCAGACTGCTGACAGGTAATTGAGTTACAACCACCCATCTCCACCACCTCAGCATCAGAGTGTACCAGGAGTGTGGAAAAGCAAGGGAAATACAGGGTCCTTTCTTGTAGGTTTCAAGTGATACATTCCAAGGACCTGGTAAAGAGGGGATCTGGAGTTACCTGGAAAAGGCAAAGTTAAAAAAAAAAAAAAACAGTAAAAATTTGGACACACTTTGAAGCAGTAAATCTGTAAGTTTTTAGGGGTTATTTTTGAGAAACAAAAAGCAATTGGGGATGATATGACTGGTAATTGTTGTTGTTTGCCTTTTTTCTCCAGAGAGTTATACTTTAGAAAATATTGCTTTGCTTTCCATCTTAAAACACTGCCCCAATTTTTGTTCCCTGCCTCAATGCAGTGACCAAATTTTCCTGCCTCACATCTGCTGAAGCCATTCCCTCCAGAGCCACAGCTGATGTGGGGAGAACCTGGCTGGCACTGCAACTGCCCTGAGCTACAAGGAATAATGTCCTGTGCTGACCACCATGGTCACTTTTTATATCCAAAAACCCTGAAGGGTTTTTTTTTCCCTGAGATATACCCATTTAGAGTTGATGCATTTATTTCTGATTACACTTCCCACAGGGGAGTTGCGGGGTGTGTGTTCTGAAACTCCCACCCTGCCCCTTTGCTGGGCAGGTTTTTTCATACTACCATTAATCCTGAAATGATCTTAGGTATTTTAAAGCTGATAAACACCCAACATAGTCACAGTACTTCACACACAGTGTAGTACAGTCCTTAGGAGTGGAGTTCAGGAGCGTGAGTGGTGTCTCGCAGTAGATGAAAGGTAAGGGAACTCAGGCAGTGACCGTGTACCAGACAGAACAGGAAAAGCGTTCCTTTTGCTCGGATTGGCAGTATCAGGGAAGCAGGGCAGATGTTTGGCGCTAGTGTGGGAGCAGGGCTGAGCTGCATGGCAGTGGAGGGGCTTCAGGGGAGGTAGATGGAGCCTGGGGATGACTCGTCTGTACCGAGGCAGCTGGAGCATCCCAGAGGGGCAGCCGGAGGTTTTAAATTCTGCAGGTAGTTCTGCACCTTGAGCAAAATCCGTGCCTGCCCTTATTTAAAAATTCCTTTATAATTGCGGGCTTGGCGAGAGGCTAATCTGTTTACACAGGCAGACGGGCAGGAATGTGCTTCCTGGGCGTGCTAACAGCAGCTCCGCCCCGGGAAAAACTCAGGTCCTGCTCCGGGGGGCACGGCAGGGAGAGTCCGCAGAGAAGTTCTCGCAGAAATCGGAGCCTTCTCTCTGCTTCCCATCTTGTCCTTAGTTGAACAGGCAGGGGGAGACATCATTAATTCTGCACTGCTACATGTAAGCGTTTCCAAAATGAGAAGGCCAGATATTGGTGGATGGGGGGAAAACAGAAAACACCGCTGGCCTCCTGTATATATATATATATGTATATATTTACTTATGAATTGTATACATGTACTACTGTACTGATACATGCCTTATAAAATACAAAATTAACAAATATAACAATGAAGTACGCATTACTTGTTAAAAATGCACGTTTTATTTTACTTATGAGCAGTGCAAAAAGTATGTTCTCCCCCCAGCCCCATGGGTTGCTTTGTGCACCCAGTTTGGAAACCACGGGTACAGTGTGGGGTCAGGGGCAGAGCTGATTGTCTGGGTCCTGCTTGAAACTTCCAAGAGCCATGTTACTGTACAGGGGCTGAATGGGAGGATAATAAAATTCAGAAAACTTTCATCAGGTTTGTAAATAGGGACTGTTTGCTACTGGGTTGGGAACTGCTGGAGTCAGCTGAGTAAATCTGAGCAAAGCTTTTGTGAGGAAATGCTAATGTTTAGTTACATTTCTTTAATTGGAACAGAAAAGCATGTGAACAGCTTTTGAGTTTTGCTCCTCGATCACCCATAGAGTGGTATTGAGGACTTTTTCGTCTAACATGAGGTGGACAAACGCGTGTGGGAAATTGATGCACAGAGTGGGGATGGGATTTCTGAGCATCAGAGCTGGGAGCAGCCCCCAGCTCTTTTGTGTTGAGGCAGTTGTTTAGTGTTGGGCCAAACCACGCTTTGTGTGTAAAGATATCATCTAAGAATTGACATCAAAACATGAATTATTGTGAAGTAAAGGTATATAATATAATGGTATATTACATACTAGATATCTGTGATCAAGTTTGTGTATTTCCATGGCTGGCCTCATGTTTTGGATGAGAGAATAAATGGAAATTTGTATAGGGATATGCAAAATGGCTGCAGGAGTTGTTTAAAACCAAATGTGCTGTGAATCTAATGGAAGTTGTAAACAGCTGAAGTTCAGCCCTACAGGAGTAATGCATTTACCAGAATGTCATTAAATATTTCTGTTGTGAAGAAGTCCCCTCATTCCTGCCTAACTCGAAGTGAAGCTCACATAAATAATTTTTAGACTGTGACCAAGCATGGTAGTAGTCAGCTGTCATGACTCGTGAAAAAGATACAATCTTAGAAGAAGACATTTCTGTCTGTGGTTAACTTCAGCTTTTGCAGAGGTTTTTGTGGCTGTACTAACACTGCTGCCTGTACGTGACACTGGAAGGGTGGCACAGGGAAACTTGTTTTATTGCTTTTTACCTGGCTGCTCTGATACAGAGGGCTTTTGTTAGGGACTACCTGCTGCCTCAGCTTTGTGGCTGACAACAGTCAAGTTCTCAAAACACCTTATTTGCCTCTGTTAATAAATTAGGGTTTAACTATATACTTGCTTCAGGCACTGTACTGAAAGCTAGATTTCAGAGACTTGGGCAACAAATTTCTCCTTGCTGTATCCCTGCCTGGAGGTGCCTCCCTCCCACTGCTGGCAGAAACCATGGCGCACTTGCAGCACGTCCTACAGCTCTGCACTTTCCATCCCTGGAGCTTGTGTTTCTGGGATGGGAGCCTGTCTCTGATAAAGGACAGCATCTCCCCCTTTATGCAAAGCAAGCAAGGGATAATCACACTGATGTGATGATATTGCTTGCAGGCTTACAGGAGGGAAAGGGTTTGTGTGAAGGCAGCTCTCTGCAATGTTGTGTCTGAGATGGAGTTGTGCACGTGCCTTTTTTGAGGTCGTAGGTGGAGAATGCCCTCAAAGCATGAGAGCAGGTGAGGAGGAGGATGTGTGTCCACAGACACATGCATATGCATAAGCTAAGGTTGGGTTCATGGATTGTCATGTTTTGCTTAGCCCGTGCTTCAGGTTTTCCCTGCATGTGGATAATGCCATCACTGGATTCAGGGTGTTCCTCCACTGCTGGGCCCCACCAATGCAGATACTGGTCTTTTATCATCACCCAAACACCTGGTTTACCTTCCAGGTCTCACAAAGCCTTTTAAATGTGATTTCTTTACAGGATGTGATCGGAGGAGCACTGATTTCGGCTGTGCTGCTCGTGCTCTTGTATCCTGCGTGGGACACAATAGATCACTTGCTGTTAACCAGCCCCTTCTGCCCATTGTTTTCCATAGTTGTGCCTCTTGTCTTATGTTACAACTACCCCAAACTAGACTATTACAGCCCTACCAGGGGAGACACCACTACGATCTTAGGAGCAGCAGCTGGAGCAACTGTGGGATTTTGGTTAAACAACCAGTATGCTGCTTCAGCCTACACTGGCAAAAGTGTTCAGCCCGGGCTTCCTCTGATCACCAGTACAGTGGTGTTTGTGCTAGCCAGGTTCTTGGTAGGGATCTTGGTTGTGCTGCTGACACGGTGGGTCATGAAGAGTGCGGTCCTTGGCGTGCTGGGCTATCGGTACAAGTTCCCCATCGGTGACCTGCAAGCCCGGAGACGCCTGGAGGTTGAGGTGCCCTACAAGTTTGTGACATACTCCTCCGTTGGCTTCACGGCCACCGTCATTGTGCCACTGCTGCACCGGCTGCTGGGACTGATGTGAGCACAGCTCCTCCTCACCGAGCCACCTGCGGCACCACCGCTTCGGGGACGTGACAGTCCAGGCTGGTGACTTGACCAAAAAGTGTTCTGTGCCTTTCTGCACTGGTGTGGTGGGTTTGGCTCTGGCTGCATGCCAGGGGCTCACCAAAGCTGCTCTATCACTCCCCTCTCTCCAGGGAGAGAAATATAATGAGAAGATCATGGCTCAAGACAAGGGCAGGGAGAGATCACTCAGCAGTTTTACGTCACAGGCAAAACAGACTCGACTTGGGGAAATAAGTTTAATTTATTACCAAACTAATCAGAGTAGGATAATAAATAAAACCAAACATTTACAACCACCTTCCACCTACCCCTCCCTTCTTTCTAGGTCAACTTCCCTCCTGAAGTCTCTAGCTCCTCCTACCCACCATTACAGGGGGATGGGAATGGAGGTTATGGTGAGCTCGTCACATGCTGCTGCTGCTCCTTCCTCCTCAGGGGTAGAACCCCTCACACTCCTCCCCTGCTCCCACAAAAGACAGCTTTCCATAAACTTGTCCAATGTGAATTTTTCCATGGGCTGCACTTCTTCCAGCATAGGTCCCCTGAGGGATCAGAGGTCCTGCCAGGAGCCTGTTTCAGTGGTGGTCTTCAAACCTGTCTTAGGGCATCACCCTGCTTCATTGTGGGGTCCTCCACTGATTGCAGGTGGATCTCTGCTCCCCATGGACCTCCATGGGCTGCAGGGGTGCATGTCCCTCACCACGGGCTGCACCTTGGGCTGCAGGGGAGTCTCTGCTCTGGCACCCAGAGCACCTCTTACTCTTCCTCTTCCTTCTGTCATCTTGGTGTCTGCAGAGTTGTTTCTCTCCTGTATCTTCAATCCTCTGTCTGCCTGCAGCTGTGCAGGTTTTTCCTGCCTTCTTAACTCTGTTATCCCAGAGGTGCTGCTACTGTCACTGATGGGCTCAGCCTTGGCCAGCAGAGGATCTGTCTGGAAGCCAGCTGGCATTGGTTCTGTTGGACACAGGGGAAGTTTCTGGCACCTTCTGAGAGAAGTCACCCTTGTAACCATCCCCCACCACTACCATGCCCTTGCCACACAAACACAAAGCAACTGGCCTAAAATATCTAACTTGGAGGAGTCATGGGAATTGCTGTGCACAGATAACTTTGGTCTAGAAATCACTGACCCCAGTGTGTCCCATAATTAGACACACTTCGCCCAGGCAACTAAATGTGACAAGCACACAGCTGAAATTGCTGCCAGAGCAGTAGCAGAGGCTGCTTTGCTGTGGGGTTGGGGTTGCTGAGGAGTAGGGCTGTGCCTCTGCATGCCTGGCTGTGGGGCTGCTCCTGAAGCAGTAGAGCAAGCCAAGGCAGGGCTCAGGTTGGGGCATTAGGGAAAAAGTGACTGGTGGGGTAGATGTGACCAGCAAAATCAAAATGCCATCATTGGGCAGAGCTCATAGTGTCTTCTGATGGCACTGGTGGACCAGGCTAGTTCTGTGTGGATGGTTTTACACATTATTAAATCTAAAGGAAAAAAAAAAAAACAACCCAAATTGTAAAAGAGTTTTACACATTATTAAATCTAAAGGAAAAAAAAAAAAAAACAAACCAAATTGTAAAAGAAAGGAAAAGCTAACACAAAATATTTAATGTGATTTGCAACAAATTTCCTTGGATATTAATAAGAAAGCTGCCACTAAAAGATCCTTTGCCTACAAAAAACTGAGCAGAGTTATTAGCACAGCACTGAGGCTTGAGTTCAAACTGCTTAACTCTGATTTAGATCCCTGGCTAGGGAAAGGAAAAAGTCCTTCCTGTCATGGAGGGGTGACTAGTAGAGCCCATAAACTGTGTTGTGGAAGGAGTTGTGACTCTGGTGACTACAGCGTGTGACAGTTACAAGATGCCATCATTTTCTGCTGCTGCACAGCATCACAGTTGGTCTTCCATGCATCCTGCAACACTTTGTGTAGGCTTGTAGAATAGCAGGGAGGTGTGTCCATAGGAAGGGCATCCCTATAACTCAGGCTGCTTATTTAAAACAATGTATTTCAGCTGTTGGACCAATGAGCTGTTGAGAAATACAGCAGTGAACGTGGTCTGCTTGGCGAGGAAAATGTACAGTGCTATTGCTGCAGAGCTTCAAGCATGGCCCCCCTGCCTTGCCTGTACAGTGAGAGCCAGCTTTCTAACCATGTCTACTTGTCTTCCTGGCTGCGAGAAAAATGAAACTGAAGAATGTAAAAGACGTGCTTTGCCATCCATATGACATAAACATAACCAATTCCAAAACTGTAGCTGGGAGTTGTCTGAGGAGTGCGAGGCATGCATGTGAAAGAGCTGCACCACTCTAAACCCGGGTTGCCAATCTCCAGAAGAAATGCAGGCAGAAATTTCATCAATTTTTAGATTTCCTCAGGCTGTGGATAAACTGGTTTATATCAGGTTGTGTGGACTTTACACATGCATGCAAACAGCTCCAGTGAGCCTTTCAGCAGGGCACATGGCCACTCACACCTGCCCCTGGGCGAGTGCTGGGCATGGGCCACCACAGCCATGGGTTTCCATCCTCAGCTTCTCTCCCTCCCATACACCACAGAAGCACTGCCATCAGGTTTAAAATACCTTTAAACACCTTGTGTTAAGAGAGCTGGATGGCACACAGGTGCAGGGCACAACTGGAGCCCTGCCGAGGGGCAACATCACAAAACTGGGAAAAAACTTGGCAGCAAAATGAGCATTTAAGCTGGGGATTGGAATTACTCCCAAGAAAGGCACAGTTTGACAGGGACATTCATGCAGCTTTATGTGTAAAATTTCTGTTCTGATTCACAGCTATTTTATGCTATGAAGATTTTATAAATTATATATAAATGCTGCACAGGTATTTTTATAGTATTCACCTGCATGTGATTCATGCAATAAATGCAAACTCTATTTGGTTCAAATTTTAAAATAAACCTATTTTGCAGAGTTTGTTGTTTGTCTGTTTGTTTTGCATCCTCTATTGATACTTGTAAATGGCTGATGTAAAGGCAGTGAGTCCTAGCTAAAAGAGCTTCCCAAGTGCAAGCACCCACTTCTTTTCCCAAGTTGTCCTGCTTGTGGCTCCTTGTCTCCTGCTCAGTCTAGCTCCATGCTTTGGCTCCTCCAGAAGTATCCTGCTTTTTAAAAAACATTTTAAAAAGAGATTACTGGTCTACTAATGACTATTTGTTACAACATTTGCAAATGTAAATGAGTGAGTTGCATGTAATTAGTGCTGGGGGGACTTTTGGGCACTGGAATCTCCTTCACCTTCAATATCTGCTCTAATAGGCTAAACAGTTAACTGGAAGCCAATTTAATCTGTGCAGTGATAGCATGACAGCCCATGAACTGCAGAATATTTTGCATTAGTTGAGGAGCCTAACAAGGTTTTGTGGTCAAAAAGTGTATTTGAAACCAGATAGGGCCTCATCCTCCTCTCAGGATCACATGCTGCCTGGAAGTGGTGTCACTGCAAGTGCCCACAGCTGATCAGGATAAGCCCAATTGCTGCAGCATCCCTGGGCCAGCTGGGTTAGGCAGGGCTTTGAGCTGGGCTCTGTGCTGAGGCTGTGCTCTTGGGATGCTTACAGGACCACAGCCACTCCTGCAGGGCCAGGCTGGGAGAGGCAAGTCTTCTGACAAGGTGAGACACATCACCCTTTCTGCATTTCATTAGCCTGAAGCACCAGCTCCTCTTTGCTGTCTTTGGACATCACCCTGTGCCTTTGCTGTCTTTGGAAATGCTCTTCATCCCTGAAGTGCAGATGCCTCTGCATTTCCAGGGTGGTGGTAGAGAATGAGGTTTTGTGGTGGGTTTGCTGGCCATGTTCTTTACTTTGTAAGACAAAGGCACCAGCTGAATCCTCTAAAGTAGACACACTTGTGTTTTAGAGTAAAACACTGCTGTGAATGGAGTGGGAGGTGACTTCCAGAGTATCAGCCTTGCTGTTATGTTCTCAGTGCTGTCTGTGCTGTCTGTTCTGGTACAGCACCACAGCTCTCTCTCCTGTGCCTGCCTATAGCTGGAGGGGTGATGCAAGGCAATCTAAGCTGCTCTCAAGAGGGATATAGCAGGCACCTCACCCATAGCTAAGCCCACTCTGTCCTGCCTGGAGGCTGTCTTCTGACCAGCTTACTTTGCAAATCGCTTTTTGGGCACGTGCTGCTGCCCCAGGCTTCCTCCTCTCTGGGGCATCTCTGTGTGCTGGTGCCCCAGTGCAGAACCAGCTACTCTGTGAGAAGTCAAATGGATATTGCACCTCTTGGCAGGGTTTAAGAACCAAAGCAGCAAGCACTGAATTTCTCTGCTTTAATTTCCAGCAGTAACTTTGTAATGACCCCAGTCTCCTAATCCATTCAAGTTCCTATGCAAAATCACAAGCAAGCTCATGACTTGCTTTTCTGGATCTAGTTGATGTAATTTAGGGAACAGAAGAAAACAGTCTGTTTCAATTTTGACCCTTCTCAACTGTGCTACAAGGAGAAGTTGGAAAACACAGGTACCTCTCTGAACAGGGTGGAAATGTGGCTGGAATCTTGCACATTTGCTGAGCCATGAGTAAAGCAAGGCCCTCGCTTGCTTCCTGCTCCTGTCAGAGCTTCCCTGCGGTCTCGCTGTCTTCCCACCTGCCCACTGTCACCTGCTGCCACCCTGCCCTGGCAGCAGGCTCGGTTTCAAGGTCACTGGGCGGTCAGAGGTGTCACCTGTGCCAGGCCATGATCCCCTGGCAGCCTCCTGGCAGCGCTTTTGCCCAGCCTGTTCCACACTCACCTGCCAAACCAAGGCTGATTTAAATTTCAAGCGAGCACAGTGCCAGCCTGGAGATGGAAACAGTCCCAGGCATCACCTTTACATAAACACCCTTGTGCAATAGCAAGGGTAACCTGCAGGCAGCAGGGCCTGTGCTGGGAGCTGCAGCCAGGCTCTCTCAGGGTTCTGCTCTTTGCAAAATCACCACCAAAGCACAGCAAGGACAAACCCAGAGCTCAGAGCACGTGTCCAACAGAATGGAAGCCAGCAATTGCTCAGACAGCACACTAAACCAGCTCTGATCTCTCTGTCACCAGCTCCCCAGCCTTTCCTGCTTGTGTTCAGATCCCCAGCAATGACCCAGTACCCACAGGGAGCTGGAGGCCAAAAGTAATCCATAATTGAGGAGCAGTAGTTAAAAATCCCACTTCCAACTCTTGTTTAAAAAGAAGACCCCAGTTCAAAAGATGCTTAAAAACTGCTCAGAAGTCCCCTCCAGCAGCAAAGGTTTCCTTTGCCAGAGCCCATGGCTACAGCAAAGGGTAAAAGCAAATTTCAGTGCTCACAGGGACTGGCTCCAGCACGAAGCTGTGTAATAACTACCCCGAGTTCTGCACACAGCTATGAGCAGGCTGTAAATACCAGATAATTGCTTTGGAGCTATGAAAGACAAAGCCTTGCAATAAATACACCAGGCTTATATGAAGTGTCCCACTCATCAGGAATCACAGTTAATCCAGAGCTCAGCACTACAGCAGAGCTTGAATTTCATTGCAAGGCTGCTGGCACCATAGTTAACTGGAGGGGTCAGGGACTCTGAAGAGGCTTTTTAACCTTTCTCTTGATTCTCATCCTCTAGTTTTAGCAAGTAATGGTACTTACCTGGGACAAAGCTCGTGGTTTTGGAGTACTTAGCTGCCAATGCATGGGCAAATGGTACAAAAATGAAGCGATCCCTAAAAGCCTCGCAACACATGCCACTGCAGCTCAAGCCCTTAGTCCCAGCTTAATCTAGTCTTTACACTCAAAGGACAGCTAAACTCACAGGAGAATTGGGACACCCAAAGAGTCAGAAAATCTTGCGTAGAGAAATATATTTAGTGCACGCAAATATGCCTGCACTCTGCTGCAATGCAAATCTGCCTTATTGTGGTCCTAATCCCCGTGCATGACACACCAATAAACAAGGGGGGGTTAATACTTTCCATCTGCGTTACAGATTGCTTCCCACACTGCGAGCCTGCCTGCTTACACTTGTGTAGGCATCGCGGGGAGAGAGATCCTGCAAACGCCAAGCTGCCTAATCCCCTGGGAGGTTTAAAATGTGAGCTGCAGTTTTCTCACTCTCCGTGGGCACTGGAGTCAGTCGTGCAACGTATGGCAATAGCTATATTCTCATTTCACGTCTGTCATGCAGAGATAATTAAAATCTACACTTCCATCTGAGGGGAACCGTAGGGTTTCCAGATGGGTGACTGTAGTGCATATTTCATACTGGATTATCACTTGCACCAAAAAGCCTTGCCTGTTGCCTTCCCACCTGTTGAGATTATTGATGGGGCTGCCATTGAAAAGCCCTCGTGGGCCCAGTGATAGGGGTCTGTGCAGCTCGTACAAGCTTAGCTCACACTGCACATCTCTGCTCAGTGGGGCAGACATTGTGACACCCTTCCCAGATGTCCACTCTTAGACAGGCCACTCCTGGCTCTCACAGCAGAAAGGAGCCACAGTGCATTGGCCTAACATAAAATACTGGCTGTTGCTGGCCTGCAGCATTAGCAATGGTTATAGTATTGCAAAGGAGGGACAGCCAGCTCCACAAGGCTGCCAGTCAAGAGCTGCTTCACTGTACTGAGCTGACCACCCACTTGGTGACATTCCTGCAGAAAGAAAGGATTGGGCATCACTATGCTGGATGGAGCTTCTCAGTTTCAGAGAGCAGAGGCACAATGCACGAAGCTGTGACACAACTGCTGCCAGAAAGCCACCTAGAAGGAAAAGCCTGACCCATGAGAGCTTCTCATGTACTGGCAGGGGCAGAACTGCCAGAAAAGTAACCCTGCCCAAAAGCTGCACGGTCCTGCTGCACAGCTGGGGTCCAGAAAGCCCTGGTGGGGCTGGGAGTGCAGCGGGCCCACGCTCGCTTCTGCAGACAAACATGCCAGCCTCAGGCAGACAAAGGCTTTGATAGTTTTCTGTTACTCATGCAAAACACCACTGGCATATGCTCTTAAATGCACTTCTCCATTTGGTTTAGAGCTTCAAAAACCGCTAGGCTGACATCAACAATGAAAAAAATTTAATTCCACCCCCTCCCCTTTCTGAATTTAGAATGATAAAGGACCAACAGTTATGTCTGGAGCAGGGAAGCAGATATTACACACATCTTACTTACAAAATAGCTCTGGTTTTCATGAAACAAGTTTATTTTCCTCCCCCAGCCATTGATGAGCACATGACAACCGTATAGAATAAAAGCTCAACTCCTTAGTTCTGCTCACATTCACTCAACATTTGCTCTAATCAATTATCTTATTTCATGCAGTAAGAAAAGAATGAGATTCCTGTTATGCAGCCATAATCAGTTACAGTATGAAGCTGTGTCTGTGGAACATTTCTGATTTTGAAAACTAATCATGTGCTCTGCCATTACATTTCTCTTGTACAACACTGGGCTTTGACCCAACTTGTTTCTTCCCCCCTGCCCTTTGAAAACATTGAGGGCACAGCCTGGTCCGAGATCCCACATTCCTTCCCTGCAGAAGCCAGCCAGATTGCACTGCAAAGAACACATTTACTCAGGGAGACAGGATCTGTTTTTCTGGTTTATTGGAACATAAAAGCACAAGCGGATGTCCCCTGGGAGGCAGACAGAAGAGGAGAGGGTGCTGCATGTGACAGTGGACGGCTGTCGCAGATAAGAGTCACGTCTTCACACGAAGGGCTCAATATTGATCTCTAGGACAGAGCAAGGCATGGTGAGCTCAAACTTGGTGATAACATCAGGGTGTACGACTCCAAGTTTCCCAATGCTTTGACCTTTGGCAAAGACCTCAGCACAGCGACCAGGAAAGAAAGCAGTGCCTGTAAAGAAAGTGAGAGAAAAATCAATATTTCTTTGGGCCAGAGGAGTCAATAGGCATTTAACGTGCAGAACAAAGCTCTCAGTATTAAATGGTTCTCTGTGCTGAGATGCTCAGAAGGGGCTTTCACATTCTTGCATTAAGAGTTGTCATGATTGATAGAGAATGAGAAAACACTGAGTTAAAAATAAAATGTAAAGCCCAAAGCGTGGGCATTTTTCACACTCAATTGTTTTGACTAAGTTCCTCCTGCAATAGAAATTAGCACAGTTGAGTCAGAGGGCTACTGAAATGAAGAACTTTTGCAGCCTTTAGGCTATTTAACATCTGAATGTCTCCCACCTTAGTCTGTTTAAAGAAATAAAGCTTGCTGTCATCTAAAGGGTAAGTAGACATGTCACCCTTGTTTGCCTGTCACATAATTAAAAACAACCTGCATTCCTCATCTGGGGAAGAACTTTTTAATCAGTTTTCTATGCACCATAAAATTTGAAACAATGAACACTCAAAGAAAGACAAAGATCATCTTCCTCTTACCTCCAACCAGGTCCCAGTTTTTAAATGTTACATGGGAGCTTTTTCCTATAAAAGTAGTTAGATTTGCCATGAAGAACTTGGAGCAGCTGTGCAGACCTTTTCATGGAAAGACTTTGCTACCTGGGAACTTCCCTGTGTGTAGTGGCTCTACCAGCACTATGTTCAAGCTTGTCTAGTGCAACTAAACTTGCATTTTTTGGCCTCTGTCCTGAGTTGAATGCCAATTTTATCTGATAGCCCTTCTAAAGACAAACCCAAACCAGACCAGCCAGTTGCTCCTTCTGGAAGCACCTCTTTCCAAACGAGTGTGTGGAAGCAAGGCACAGTGAGTGGGACATCCTGTGAGCAGTGTTGCAGGCAATGCCGGGACATCACGGGGAAGGGGAGAAGATGAAACAAAGCCACTGAATCCTACAGATTCTGAATCCTCAGAAAGCTCCTCCACCCTGTTTTTAATGCTGCTGCCTTCAGTGTCCTCTGCAAAAAGATCACAAGAATTTCCTGACAGCAACTCACTCTCTGGTTGCACCAATGCTACTTAAGGTTCAGGATCAGCCCAGGACATTTTACTGTGTGTACAAGGAGCTACTTAAAAAGGCAATAATGTCCAAATGAACCTCAAACCTCAGGAACATTTTCATGATATTCTGATCACCAGTGGTCAAGCCCAGAGATATTCTCTGTTAGCTCCCCAATGGAAATAATTAATTTAAGAAATGTCTTCTATGAGGTTTGTAGTTGTAACTTGCAGCTACAAGAACAGCAATTAGGTTTTTTTCTTGCCCAAGTTGCTGCAAGTGCAAATTAACTTCAATGTCCACTTCAATTTTGGCCACCTTGTGAAATCTGACCACAGTAGTAAATGACCACAGTAACACTGCTTAAAGGCTGTTTTAAAAATATCCAGAAGCAGAATCTTTTAAATTATCCAGTTCCAGTCTTCGCTACAAGCACAGATTGACTACTTACACTGAATGTACAACAGTGAAATTACCTCACCCAGGATGCTACTGGCACATGACTCCAGCCAAAGAGACACTTGCCACTGCCAGGCTGCACTATTCAAAACAAGATGAAACAAATTTAGAAAAGAGTCAAATGTCACACATACAGATCACTCTGCAGATTGTGGGTGAAAACATAACCTAAAAATAAAGTTGCCTTTTACTTAGTGGTAAAGGCTTTCCTATTTGTAAATAAAGATGGTATTGTACCAAAGATGGGAGCAGCACACAGAGACTTTCTTTTAGACACTTGACTGTAAGCTTGAACTGGCACAAGAGCAAGAGCCAAGCAGAAGTTCATAATGTTGGTGTGGTTCCCCTCTATAAATCTATAGGAAAAAAAGAGCTTTGACAGTAGGGTCAGTTAAGAAGCTGTGAGTCTGACTTGTCTGTTCTTCTGAGCTTCCTTCTGTGTAGTCTTGGGAAAGTTATTTTATCTTCTTGCACATCTATACTCAGCTATGTCATGAGACTTAATTGTTTTTAAACTTCTTGTTGGTATCTGATGGGGTCTAAAATAATACTGTACTCAGTCAATCTAACAAGGGCAGTTTCCCAGATCTATGCCACTTCCCATTGTGTGAAACAATGCTGTTTTCAAACACAACAAATGCTCTGCTATCCATCACCAGTTGTTGGTCTGCTAGTCGCAGTGAGTTCCAAATAAGCTGCTCCAGGCTATGGGTTAGACACTGAGCAGAATTTTCCATCTCATGCAGCAACTGATGCTGGACCATGATGTTACTTTTCTTTGCACTTCCTTGCAGCAAAGAGGAAAATATATTATTAATATCAAGGGGGAACATTTAGGTCCCCAAAGTGCAGGAAATGGGACCTTCAAACAATGTCTCAATTTCTAGTTATAAGCTGACCCTGAAATGTTGGCTGCTTCACAGGGCAGTCACCAGTGTGTGCTCCCTGCTCTGCAGACATGGCAATTGCAGGGCACAATTCTGTGGCTGGAAAAGATCAGACAATAAGCAAATAAAAATGAAAGAACCTGTTAAAAACTTTAGAGCCCCCATCTGTCCAGCCAACACATGGCTCTTGCACCAAAGAAACATGAGCTGAGAAACAGGTTTACAGAGAGTTTATGAACTCTGGTTCATAATGGAACCATTATTATGGTAATTGGCTGCACTACAGAATGCTTCAAAGTATATTCCTGCCTGCCAAAAGGGCCTCCAGACTGCATCCCTCAGGGGGGATCTAAAGCCTTCCTCATCTTAGTGACTCTTCCTTTGAGCACACAGGTGGTAAGGGAAGGAGGTTGGCTCATGCATTGGACCGGGTGGTGTTGCTCCATGCCACGTGCCTCTGCCATGGAACCAAAATTTGGAGCAAATGTAAATTCCAGGTTAAAAAATTCACATTGAAAGGGAAGCAAAGAAGGGAAAAAAATCTCAGAAGAAACATGAACAACCTGAGCAGAAAGGGGGAAAGAGAAACAACCATTTGCAGCTGGGGGAGAGCTTTGACCGAGGGACCAACCACAGGCACAAAAGACCTGAGCTAGAGGAACCTGCTGTGCTGGGGCAAGACACAGACTGCAGGAGGACCTGAGAGACCCATGGAGCAGGGCAGCAAACCAGGAGGGTCATCAAAATAAAAAGGTAAGGACTCTTTTCATCCTAATTTATGTGTTTCTGGTATTATCAAGTAAATAGCAGTGGTGGCTAGGATTTCTAACAAAGCTTGTGTTATGGACTGGGCAGTGTTATGTGACTTCAACTCTTGAAGTAAAGTAGAAGCTTCAAAGTGAGAGTCAAGGCTGTATGAAAGACATGTGCTGAAGCTACTTGCACACATGGGAAATCAGCAAAAAGTGCACACATTGTTACTTTGTTTGTGTAAGTCACCCCAGAAGCTGAAGCCCAGCGCTCTAAAGCTACAGTAAAGCCTTCATGCCAAAAGGAGTCTTTCCAGAATCACTGGCACTGTGACCTGCAGCTTTGAGCAGGAGTTCACCATAGTTTGTCCTGTCTGTCTGTGCAGGATCATCCAAGAACAGCATGCTTGTGAAGAGCATGGTCTTCCCCAAGAAGCTGTCCCTGGTCAGGGAGGCACAAAAGCTCACCTGGAGGCCCCACTCTGAGCAGGTGTGTTAGCAAGGGATTGTGTTTGCTGCTGATGCAATTATGCTGAAAGGCTGCCCTTGTAGGTCCAACTGGTTGGTTCTACCATCAACTACATTGAGAGTCAAAATTCATTTAAAAATTGTAGTTTACTGTAACTTCTGTTTTAAGGGTAACAGATTTATCCCTCTTGACATAGCAAATCCTTTCTGCTCTGCACACAAATAAACTTCATAAACTTCACCTTGAAATCTAGTCAGAGATTGTATTGTCCTTGCTGATAGAGACCCAGACAATGCCAGAGGAAGCCTGAAGGTCTAGCAGTGGAAATCCACCTCTTAATATGTCAGGTGTGTAAGTGGTAGTTAGGAGAAGGGGTGGGTGAAATCCAATACACCTTCCTAACGAAGGGATGCCAAAGCCAGCCCTGTCTAATGCTGACACACTACACACAAGGGAAAGACAAAAGCTGCTTCTCGTGGCTGCAAGTAAGAATTTAATTTCTAATGTTCAGTGATGTAGAAGTAATACCTTTAATTAAAGCTTCTGTAGCATGTCCTCCAAATCCGTAATTGCCTCGCTGTATTCAGGCAACAGGGCCACTTTGATTGCTTTGGGGTAATTCTTTGGCCAATAATCCATCAGAGCATGTAGTCTTTAGCACATTTTCTGGCTAATTGACCCTCAAAGAGCTCTGAGTTCCCTGCACTCTTTGTTGTCAAACACCTTGCACAGTTTCTTTTCTCTACCTTACTCTCCCTTCCTTTCAAAAAGAAATAGATTAAAGTTATATTATAGGCCTGCAGTTGCACTAAGCCTTCAAACCCACTTGTTTGTTCCTGTAATTTGAAGGAACACTGGAAGCTGAAGCTTAAGGAGGTAACAGAGCAGAGCTTATCTGGCCTCAGCAGCCTTTCATCTTCATTCTCCTCCCTTTAGTGACTCCAGCTGCCCTTTCACTACCTCACCCCAACTCATTTGGGGAAGTATTTTGCCTGTGCTACACTAGATAGAATTTAGTTTTGTGAGGTTAAATGTTGGTTTTAGGATCAATTTCTTCACACTTTTGACCGATTTCCTTCTTTTGGCAAAAAATACAAATCAAATGCAGAGTCGGGGGCACTATCAGCCCAGACAGTGTGTTAAAAGGCAGCCCCCTTTTTCTGCCCACATACACAGAAAGGCTCCAAAAACCTTATGCAAAATCACATCTTGTCATGGAATGATTTACCTTCAGCTATTTCTTAAAATCACAGACATCTCAAATCTTCCACAATCTTCGGAACAAACTGAGAGACCAATTGTTTTTGTAAGTTGCACATTGTCAGCAGTTCTTCTCCCTTATATTCTCAAGCCCAGAAAAACTATTTTGGGATCAGTGGGATATTTGTCAACTTTAGTCTCTTGATTTGTAAATCCTGACCAAAGCTGTGCCAGAATGACTGCCATTTCCCCAGATCACACCTAACTGTAGTGACACACCAGGAAATGCAAATTAGTACAATTAAATTTAAGGCATGTGCCTTAATTACTCCTCTCAAGAATTAACACTTGACCAAAATCACAGAATCAGTATCTGTGTGACGTGAATGAATATGTCCTTGTCTAAAGGGCATCTTTTATTCTGATCTCTTCCTCTGTTTTTCCAAAAGCCTTCTCATACAGGGCAGAGCAGAAGAGGGTAAAGTGACAATCAATTATTTACCTGGACTGCTACACTGGATATCCAAAAATAGCATATTTGAGTCCTTGTGCAGACAGGAAGGCTGGGAACATGGAGAACCATCCACAGATTTGCAGGGGTCAGTCAGTAAATCATCTTCTCCTATTACAACTAAGTCAATGGCTGAGTTCCTATTAATTTTTATTTCAGGGAGGGTGTGAGGAAAACTAACTCTTCTATCTCATAAGAACCCTCATATACAACCCTGTAAGCTGGATTTGTTTTTCATTCTTGCTGTGGAGTGTTCCAGGAGCTTTAACAGAGGTTGTTTGATGTTGCTGGATGTCAGAAAGTGGTTCAAGAATGCAGGAGGTTTGAGGCACCTCTTTATTCACCTGTGTTATCCTCAAGATTACAGCAGCCTCAGACACTTAAATTTGTCTGGGTAAAATCACTGTGTTCTTGCCTTCCTAATGGAAGGTAATACTTGGGTGGATGCTGAAGCTAAGGAATGCAGGTATTTGGGGTTCTCTTATTAAATACTGCATGCAGAAAAGGTAGGAAACCTAAAAAAAAACAAACTATCAAATTCAATGTATTTCTCTAGAAATCAGTATTTGTGTATAAAGTTCAAAAATTTGCCTTTGTGGGGCAGCCTGTGAGAAACAGCAACTCTCCACTGGAGTTTAGTTGCTTTGCAGAGTTACCATTACACAGCTAATCTTTGCTATTAGGCTGGTTTATCTGATTTATCCAGATTTATCTGAAACGTTATACTTTGTCTAAAAGTCACAACCTGAGCTGATATTATATCACAGCTATTTTGTCTATAAAAGTAAGGAATTCCTAATCCCAAATAAAGCTCACTTTTTTAAAAAAGGAAATCTTGCTATTTCACTTGAGTTAGAGAACACAAAGCTTTGAATATTAAAAAAACTTAATTTATTTGTGTCCCATGAGTGTTTTTATCACTCTTTGGGTATCTAATGGAATGATTCATCCTTGCAAGCAACAGAATCTGTCAGAAACTAGGAAACAATAAACCATATGCTCTCTGGCAGGGTGTATAACATACCCTGTGTGCACAGCAAAGCAGCAGGTTTTAGCTTGTTAGGCTCTGCTTTCATACAGGCACTAGAGAATAACAAGAACCAGCACTAAGCCAGGCTGCAAGGCTACTTTAGTGTGTCACATTTGGTTTGCATGTTGTTTAATCACTCCTGTCCTAGACCAAGCTGCCCTCCTCTCCCAGTGACTTGACTGAGATAACCAAGAGGCACCTCACGCTCTGCTTTCACAGCTCCCCCATTTCATGC